CCTCGCACGCGCTATGGCCGTCGGCGTGGGCGCCGTGCATGGTGCGACTCTCGTAGTCATGCGCTTTTCGTCCATCTCCAAGTGTATGGCTCCAGTCGTCAAAAGTCAGTTTCTATTGCCCGCAGGCTATGATCTGACCATTTGTCTCTCCATCACCACCAGCCCCCGTCCCCCCCCCCCCATCTTGACGCGTTGATGGGCGTTAAGCGTGACGATAACTGCCACCAAGCGTGATGCGCGACCTGTCGCACGTGAGCCGGCCTGCCCCGTGACCCGACCGACCCCTGGGCGCGCCGCTGCCGCAGACCGGCTGGTGGGCGACGCGGTCGCCGTGCGCCATCCCAGCGTCAACCTGACTGACGTCGTGCGCCAGAACCTTAGCGAGATCCTGCTCGGCTCGAAGGTGAGAGTGCGCCGGACGCGGGCTGCGTGGTCTAGACAGTTGAAGAGTGTTGCTAGGGGTGCCAGTCACCCGCATGCATTAAAAGTAGAGTCGTGTTGACTCTGAAGAACTGAGGAGGTATGTTGTGGAAGGAAGTAGACAGGATATTGACCGCAGCAGACACAGGATTGCAAATGCTCAGTCTCAAATTTTGTGTCATGGTATATCCAGGAACAATGACCAGTCGAGAGGTTTCGGTCTGTCGGGCGAAATAAGTTTGCCGTTCTTTTAAAGGCATTTAGGAGCCTAGGAAAGTGCCCCTACTGGAGGCGCTTACGCTCATTACGTGTGCCGGCAGCTTCATCTGTCTACCTTTGCGCAACGCGAAGGAGCTTGTCTGCTTTTTATTAGAGGGCTTCATATCCTACGCGTTGGGCAGTTTGCTTGGTGCGCTTGTTTCTTCATCCGCTGTTTGGGACGCCGTTTACGTCCTGAGCAGCCTTCTTTCTCGGCCTGTGCGCCTTGATCACGCATCTCTTGGGCGGTGCTTTTTCCCGGAGTGGACCCACTAAGCCGATGATGACGAGTGAAGTTTTGTGGCGGGCTGACGCCATGGCTCGTCTGCGCCCGCAGCGACTCACTAAGGTCGTGCGCCTCCGACAGGTGTTCCTGGGCGGCATGTACGCCCTGGACACGCTCACCGTCACCGGCCCGGTGAACGGGATCCAGCTGGATGACGTGTGTCAGCGTGTGGTCCGCACCGACACGCCCAACACCTTCGCCAGCCTCACCGTCAACGGTGGGTGCAGCGCTGGGCGGAACCTGCTCACCGGCGCTGCGGCGCGGACGGTGGCGGATCGGTCCAGGCGCTCGGTGAGGGTGGGTCCAGCTCGCTGACCAAGCTCTTGACTGTCTTGGTTGCCATTTCGTTTGGGCCGTTAGCGTAATCCGCAGTCATGTCAATTGACTGTGTCAGTGCAAAATAATTTAGGGCACGTGTTTGAGGGTGATTTCTTGTGTGCCATTCGTTGTTCTAAGACGAGCTGTTTGCTTTCAGGCAACGTGACCCTCCACCGCGCGACGAACCCGCTGTCCTGGACGCTGAACGGCCTGGACTTGAGCCGGCTGGACCGCCTGGTATGGCTGCGTGACGCGGATCAGACCCTGGCCGGCCACATTTTTCTGCAGCAGCCCTTGTTCGCCAGCGTCGAGGTCCAGGTGAGCGTTGGCTGGTGTCGCTTGGGGCGGGCGGCGGGCGGGGCGAGACGCTCGGGGATGCTGACGACGCCGGCTGCTCCCACCGCCGTCTGTCTGGGTGGCCCGGGTCGTTCACGTGTGTGTGTGTGTGTGGTCCTTCTCTGGTCGGCTGCGTGCGTGGGCGTCGAGGTCCGATCCGCCGCCAGCCTGCCTCCTGATGTCGAGGTCTCGTGTGCGTGATACGGCACGTACGCGCGTGTGCTGATCTCCGAAAAACTCAACATTCGTGAAAAGGCCCTTGTGCATAACGTATTCAGTCGCTTAAAGCCCCGCGTGCAATCCTCTCTCCTGAAACACCACCCGGTCGCTGGCAATGTCGTCAATAACCGGGCGAGCATGCTCTGCCTGCGATGCCTCGCCGTGTCTGGACGCTAGACGCCCTCTGCACAGCCGGTACCGACGCGGGCGGCGCCACCCTTGGCCGCGCTGTACGGGCGGCACTCCTGACACAATATAGCTGGCAACAGAGACAGACGACGCGGTTTTTACGCGGCTTTACGTCTAATGTAAGAATTTCTAAGACCTCAACTTCTACACGGCCAATCTTGTAATGTGAAAGCTTGTGCGCGACAACACTCCTGCCGGACAAATGGTATCATTCAAAAACCTTCACGCAATACTACTTGTGCAAAACATTATAATTATAATTACCCGTGAAATTCCAAGCAGCAATAAAACCTTTAATGCAAAAGCTTCTACGCAACGTCCTTCCTGTGCGGCAGGTCTTCCAACAAATAAATTTATATGTAGCACTTCTTCCAATGCAAGAGCTTCTAGTCAAAAGGGTCCGCAAAAAAACTTCGGAAAGAAGCCTGCAGGACACTGCTTTACGCGAGGAATGTCAGTCCCTGTCCTTCCCCACAGTTCTACGATCCTGGTATTCGAAAAATGCAATGCCTGGACATCCCGGCGTCCCGTGGTGGTATATTGTTTTGGACGTTTACTTAGCATTGTTTTGTACCTATGAAGATAAAAGTACAGGTGCATGCCATTGGATGTGTGTTTGCCATCCCGCAATATCCGCGCGCATGTCATGTACACATTTAATTGGGGTGAAAGTGTCAAATTTAAAAAAGACCACTCCCTGAACTCCTGTGCGCAGTTATGAACGATAGTTTTTCATTTTCACATGTGTCCAGTGTGTGGGGAGTATGGCGTATGACCGTACCACATGAGCTGCTGAACCTGGAGACATCCCATCCAGGAGTGGATCTAAGGGGGAGGGGGGAGCTATGGAACCGAGTGTCTCATAAGTGTTCGCATTACCAGTGCTGTCATCCTTACGCACATGCCTAATATATTTTTGCATAAGATATTTGTCGCGAGTAGCTCATGCATTAGAAATATTTGTATTGTACGTTTTATCGTGCGGAAGCAAAATCGCGTGGAAGTTTTTGCGTAAGGAGTTTAGTCACGTAGAAGTGTCCCTGGGCCGCGACCCGTTCCCACCACCGGCCCGGCCGGCGCGTGCCGCAGACGCTGCTGGCGGGCGTGCCGCCCGCGCCGGTGGACCTGCTGACCTACCTGCGGCACCACTGGAACCTGCGCCGGCCGCAGACTGTGACCGGTGACGTCAGGTTCGGCGGCGGCCTCACCGTGGACCACCTGACGGCCAATCAGCTGGTAAGGCTCGGGCTGGGTCACTGCGGGTCAGCGCGCCAGCGGCTGACGGCGGACGGGGTGGCTGCTTATGCCACCGCGTGAAGCCGAGGGGTATCTGAAGATGGCGCTGGTATTCTAGCAGCGAAGTGCGAAATAAAGTACGGTCAAACTAGCATTTATGTGAACATAACCCGACGCTTTGCCATGAGTTTTGCCTGTCGCACTGCCATGAGTTTGATGGGTGCCGCGCGCCCACCTGCCCGAACTCGCCGGGCCTCGCCCGGTATGACCCGACCCTGGCCGCTCGCGCACCAGACTGTGACGGGCCGGGTCAACGGCAAGGACCTGAGCGCGCTGATGGCCTCGGCGCTGACCGTCGCTGGTGGCACGGTCACCGGACACTGGACCCTGCCCGACCTTATCGTCAATGGTGGGTGTTCTGCTCGACCTCATCGGCGGCGGTCGGTGTGCTGTCGTCAACGATGGCGTGGGTTATGCCTGTTGTGCACGTGGTCCACGTTATCGTAGCTTTCCTGTGACGTTTAATGATCCACTGGCGTGCGTTGAAGAGTCGTTTGGAAATCGGAACCTTAAGACCCGTGATGCAATGCAATGCAAGCCTTAAGCGGGTCCCTGCCAGGATGTGCGTGTTGCCCACGCCACTGCCACTCGCAGGGTTGTTAGGCGCTGGCTGTGGAAAGCCCGCTCCCTGCGCTTTGGGCTGGAAGCAGTCATTCGCAACCCATTCACAGCCTCGCTCCGTTGCAGGTCCCCTGATGTTCACCAGCCTGAACGGCATCCCGGCCGACGCTCTGGTCAAGGACTCGGCCACCGAGCTGCGCTTCAGCTCACACCAGACTGTGTACTGGCTGACTGTCAGTGGTATGGACCGGTGGGCCTGCCACGCACTCTCATATTGGGCCACCCGCACAGTTGCAGCCATGTGTGATGTGCGAGTCTGCTCGCCTGATGTGCTCCCAGCAGTTTAGTCTGCAGTGCAGCCTGTTAGACCACGTCCACGTCCTGCAGTCTGTTGGGACCACGTCCGCTTGTTTATCTCTGACCTGTCCGGGCAGTGCTGAAATCGTGGAAATTGATTTATATTGCGTGAGTGAGCTGTAACAAACTATTTCTTCTCGTATCGCCATTATCACTGGCAACATCAAACCTACGGAGGTGAGTAGCGTACGTAAGTCGCTTCCCGGCTCTACGATAGTTTCTGAAAGCGTTGTTTACTCATGCGGTTCGACGCCGTCCTGGGGCGCCCTCTGCCCAACGCGCTTCTGCCGGTCAGTCCCGGTCCCGCCCCTCTCCACAGGCGACCCTCAGTCTGCCGGACGGCGGCCAGGTGTTCAATCTGGACCCCTCGAAGCACCTGCACATCTCCAACTTCCTGCAGCGACACGGCACGTTCACGGTCTCCTCTGACGTCACGTTCGGCGCGCTGACCTTCACCCGCCCGCTGATGTGAGGGCCGGGGCAGCGGCGCGGCCCCCTCGGGGCGACCGCTCGGGGCAGCGGCGCGGCCCCCTCGGGGCGACCGCTCGGGGCAGCGGCACGGCTCCCTCGGGGCGACCGCTCGGGGCGGCGGCACGGCTCCCTCGGGGCGGACCGCTTCGGGGCGGCGGCAGCGGCTCCCTCGGGGCGACCGCTCGGGGCGGCGGCGCGGCTCCCTCGGGGCGACCGCTCGGGGCGGCGGCGCGGCTCCCTCGGGGCGACCCGCTCGGGGGCGGCGGCGCGGCTTCCCTCGGGGCGACCGCTTCCGGGGTAGCGGCGCGGCTCCCTCGGGGCGACCGCTCGGGGCAGCGGCGCGGCCCCCTTGGGGCGACCGCTCGGGGCGGCGGCGCGGCCCCCTCGGGGCGACCGCTCGGGGCGGCGGCGCGGCCGGCCGCTGAGGCCATCCGCGCGGTGCTGGTAGGCCCGCTGGGCGCTTGGCGAAGCATCTATACGTGCTGCCGAAGGGTGGCCATAACCGTGAATGGCGCTGGCCGTGCTCGCGAACGTCCTGTTGCAGTGAGCGCGCTGGCGTGGCGGTCCGTAGCTCGAGGCCATGGTCAGCCGTGCGCTCTTTCGTCACCCAGAGGAGAGGGCCTATCCAAGTGCGTGCCTTATCTTCTTGGTTAGTTTCTCCAACGTGATGCAGTCCTCGCGCCTGTCGTGTTTACCTCGCCGCTGGCGGCCGGAAGGCCGCCGCCGGCGTCGCGCGCCGTGTCGACCCGCCATGGCGTGCACACCAGCCCCGCCCGTGCCCGGCAGCGTCAACGGCACGGTCGGCGGGGTGCCGTTGCACCAGTCGTCGGTGCTGACGCTGTCCAGCGACCAGACAGTGCGCGGCCACACTTGGCTGCGGCTTGCCGGTGGGCAGTGTCTGGTCGCACCCAATCTGGACACGCCCAGCCTGAACGGCGTCGACCTGCGCCGCCTGCTAGGCTCGGCGGTCAGTACCGGCTGGTCCGCGGTGGTGCTGGTCCGCCGCTAAGTCAGCTGGGCCCGGCGGCCGGCTGCTGACGGCGATAGGCCGATGGGCCGGTGACAGTAGCCGTGGGTGGACGACTGTGAATGGCTGGACGACTGGATGGATGGCTGACTATGGACGGATACATGACCTTGAATAGATGGATGACTTAGAATGGATGAACGATCTTGGATGAATGGATGACTGGATAGGTGACTGGATGGATGGTTTGATAAACGGATTTCTGGACGGATGGATGACTATGAGTGGATAGATGACTAGATGACAGCCACCAACACCAAGTCTGTGAAAGTGTTGCAACTGGGAAAAATTGCATTTGGCAGAAACAGAGCCTCCAGCATTGATCCTCTGGCAACACACGGGGTCGGACATTGGAGACGTAAATAACTGGAAACCACTGGGAATTGGCCAAGTGAACCTCAGGCGTCAGCGCAGCGTCATGACGTGTATCGCAGACATCGCACGCCACTGTCATCGCCTGATCTCACGCTGGTGGCACTGTTGCCTCCTCCGCAGGTCCGGCTGAACGGTTCATACAACATAACAGCTTACTGGACTTTCACTAACATGCCATTCTTCATCGACTACAACGTCACCAACTCCGCCGCGGAGCAACAGCTGTACGAGGTCGGAGACGTCTTAGTGGTCTTGGTGCTGTTTTTGGTGAAGTTTTCCATTGGATTGGCTGGTTGCAGCTCATTAGTGGGCCCGCTATCTGTGTTGGGCCGCCATTGACTGGTTGTGTAATGCCTTTGCTCCTTTCGGAGTTCAAGTTTATTTTGTAACTGTTAGATGGTGTTAGTACGTTTCATCTCGATGTTACGTCTTTTCAAGAGCGTTCAGGTGTTATAGCGTGCCGCGCTCAACCCCGCGGTCGGACATGAGCGGTCGGACGTGAGCGCGCCTGTAAGCTTCACGAATGCGACGCCGTCTCTTGTCCTCTGTTGTCTCTCCCGCTGACACAGCTGTCCCCGCCGACAGCTGCTGCAGCTGCTGCTCAACGCCCAGGACCAGCTGCAGTTGGTGGACGAGGCAGTGGCCCGCCAGTACGTCGCCACCGTCCAGTACATCTACCAGGCCCTGCTGGACGCCCGCGGTCAGTGCCCTGTCTCGCCAGACGTTGCGGCGCGTGCTGTCGCCATACTCTTCGCCCATGAAAGCTGAGCCGCCTGTTTGGCGGCAGTGAGCATGTCTGCGGCGGGGTAGTGTTGCGGACAGCGGCGTTGATGCAACGGTGAAGTTGATGACTTCAGTGCTGTGACACAGCCGCACCAGACAACGCTGGCGTTGGCTGAACCGCAGGGAATGTCAGTTGATTTGAGACATTTCTGTGGCCGTGCTCTGATACAGAGATGGCTTTCATCTGCATGGACGCTGGTTGTTCTCTTCCGTCTCCTCTGTTCTGAACTGAGCTCTATCTCCAATGGACTGGGCTCCGGCTGTCACACGAGTCACGGCGTCTATGCTCGAGCCCGGCGCGCCTCTGCAGGCGCCTCGGAGCGCGAGCGGACGGCGTTGGCGCCACGCCGCGCCGTCCCGCCGTCCCCATGACGTCAGTTCCGCTCCAGCCCGGCTGCAGGCGGCCAGCTACCTGCAGTACTACGTGCAGACGCAGAGCTGGCGGTCCGACGTCATCCGGTTCGCGCCCGTCTACCTGGACGGCGAGGGCCAGCCGCCCACGCTGCTGCTCGCTATCTGGGATACCCGGATCCGGCTGCTGCGCTGGGCAGCCAGCGCCGGAGGCGTTTTCGGCCAGTGGACGGACGGTGGGTGCCGTGACTCGCGGCTGTGGGGAGGGGTCTGGTTCGTGCGGCGGGCGCAGCCTCCAAACGCGGAGAACGGACAAGCTCGTCCAGTGCCCGGGGATAGGTGAAAGTGGTGTTGGATTAGTTTGGAGCGGACGCTGCGGAGTGGTTCAGATGGCAGACCAGGAGCACACGCTGTCAAACTCATTGTCGTTAAACTTTCGGTTATTTTTCGTGAGCTCTTCGCCCGAACGCTGTGTAAAAACAAGACCACACCTGGTCTTCGGTTTTGGACGAAGGCGTGCACGCAAAACACAAACCATTTAAACGTATTTCTGACCCGCAAGTTAGAACGATGTTTAGCTGTTCCCTGTTGAAAGACGTGGCACAATATCTTGCCATAATCCGAGCCTCGTCGAACTCATTGGGTGGACGATGTTCTTCCAAGTCCAGATATTCTCCTTTTTGGTTTGGGGGGGTAGTCATTTTATAGAATGTTAAGAGGCCTCGACAATAGTATTGAGGCCCCAAGGCCCTCCAAAGCGACACAAAGCTCCACCCATGGGTGTCACACACAGTCGCCTGACGCTGCTGAGGGCGCTCTCTGTGCTGCAGGTCCTGCGTATCCTGAGGCGCGGCTGGCCTGGATGGCCGGCCTGATGCGGGCCGCCGGCACGCGGCACGCGGCCGTCGCCCGCATGGCGGCGCCACCGGCGTCTGCCGCCGTCCCCGACCAGGCGTACCGCTGGGACGATCCGGGTGAGAGAACACGACCGGAGGGCGTGCGTTCTTTTCCCTGATTGTTCGTTCGTGCGAGTTGCGTTATTTTAAGGTTATTTTCAAGGCTAATGTCATTTTAAGGTTATTTTCAAATGTGCTATCAAGATTATCTTCCTTGATTGCCCGTAGAGCAGCGTTGCACTAACGCTGCTGCATCCTCCACAATAAGTACACCCGTCTCAGACAATGACTTCCACAGGGGAAATGATTAAAATGAAATCAAATAAATGCAATGCACACGTTATGATCATTTCAATCCTAAAAATGGCAAAATTGCCAAAGGATTTCTGTGCCCATGCTAGTGCTGACAACGCGTCGCGGCCTGCAGAGTAGACCGCTCGTCGGGTGATGGCGAGTGGCGCGGCAGAGGGGCCCGGGGCACGGTGAGAATGAGTACCACCAATTTAGAAGAATCTGGTATGGTAGCCACACTCGAGAATAGTAAGTTAGGAGGCATGAATGCTACTGAAGCAAGAATCGGCGGCCAAGTTTTTTGGTTCTGTTCAGTAATTCTGCTTGGGAAATTTAACGAATACTAGGTATTTTTGCCTTCTGGTTACCCTTCACTAAGGATGAAAGCTGTCCTGGTGCTTGAACGCGGTTGCAGATAGAAATGTGGTATGACGAAGGTCATAGGTGCTGTTTGTGGTTTTGCTCGCCAAACGCAGCTTCCGGTGCTTGTAAGCTTCTGGCTTACTCTATAATGGCAGCATTTGGTCGCGAAAATAAGCTTTTTATCATGTGTCGGATGTGCTTAACGTAAGTGTTGGCGTAAAAGGTTTTCAGTCCGTTGAGATCTAACGTTAAGTCAGTCGGTCAATCCCTTCGGCACGCTGGACATTTCATGCTTACTTTCGATATTGTGCTTTTACATTTGTCCACATCTTCCAAAAAGGAGTTACTTGCGATCTATGAATTATTTAGTTCACTGACGTCAGCGATCTCACAAACCATCCGATAAATTGCAAAACAAACACGCTTATGGCCAGACCAATTTTTTCATGATCATCGTCGCCGAATTACTGGGCCGTCGACATTGTTTTGCAAGATGCTTATAAGCGGGAGCGAGTCTTTAAATGGCATTTTTGTAGATATCTGCCCTGGTTTTTAATGACAGCTTATGATAAACGAATGGTTTAATCGAATTTTGTGATGCCAGAGATTTTGATTGAGCGGAAAACATGTCATCAGTGACGGGGTTTCATGTTGTGATGATGGCTCCGTGCTTGATAACACATCCGCAAGATATAAACAGGCTATGATTCGGTCCCTGGGTGGCTTCAAACCATGGTTTTGGACAGCTGTGCGCAGTTGGGAGCCGATTCTGGTTCCGCTTGTAATGCGGGACACCTGATTATGGAAGCAACCTGAACGGTACCGACTCTGGTAACAGGGATCTTACAATAAGCGTCTCTAAACCTGCATATACAGGTCTTAATGATGCATTTATTTGATCGCTCAGGTAAATATAGATCAGGATGTCGTGAACTGTACACGTAGAAGTATGTTAGCTGTCAGAAAAATGATGTGTCATCAATACCGGCGAGTACTCTCGAGCCGGGTCGATTGCGGCTCCAGCTGTGTTTCAAATGAACCGATTCCACCATGTCTCGTGCGGCATGTTTGATTACGGGGCGGATTCCAACCCCAGCCGGAACAGGGCCCGGGTCGGCCGGCGGACACGGAGCACGCGCCGCGCCGCCAGGCCGCCCCGGGGCAGCGCCGCTTCAGGGAAGCTTGGCGTGTGGGCCGATGCATATTCGGTTGCGATATGTCGGAGCCCCGTAACCGGAGCGGATATGCAGCCGCAGCAGACGGCAGCGTGGGTCCGCCACACCCACCCGGCGCCAGACGAAGGCCGCCTCCCAATCGACAGTTCGCTATTCCACCTGCGTGCTGGCCGGCGCCGTCCAGCGCGGCCGCCCACCCGTCTGACTGGGGCTCGTGGGCCGCCGTTGGGCTGGCGCGACCTTGACCTTCACGTGTCTCGTCTGGCACGGCGGCGCGCTGTCTGACGTGGCTCGCGTTGCAGTGTTGGAGCAGCTGCACGGGGCCGTCAACTACATATTCCTGTACCATCGAAACGTCCTGGTCCAATCACAAGCCATGCCCAGCCATAAGACGGTGGATGTGAAGGTAAATACCGCGGGGATGTGAAAGGTAATTGCCGACCGGGACGCTCTTCAGGCATTGAAACAGTCGTGGCGTCACGCACGACAAGTCGCATGCGTCCCTCAAATGCTTCCCTTAAGACATATAACGAAGTCCGCAGTACGTGCGTAGTAATTCGCTCCAGGTCCGGTCGTATGGAATGCGTTGCACTTGCGTGATTAAAACGTCGCGTGCCGCAGCGCACCCGCGTCTAGTAGAGGTATGCATGCAAACTTTCCAACCTTTGCGGTGGCCTTTTACAGCACACCTTAGTAGCACCCTTATTGCGTGCTATTTCCATTCGGTTTCGCCGATGATTCACTGTCCCGCGTCTGTCTTCGTTCCCTTCGCAGAGCCTGCAGCCGTCCTCCTCGCACGACTGTTTCCTGTTCGTGCACTTCCTGGGTAACGTGTCGCACCTGGCCTGCTACCGGGACGCCCAGACCAAGTTCACCCTCCACCAGGCCATCGACACGCACGGCGGACGACAGGTCGGTGACCTCTGACCTCCGGTCGGAAGTCTGTGATCTCCCGCGCCGCTGAGAGCTGGCGGACTGGACCGCGCGCGCCGTCTGGTTCGAATTTGGGCCACAAAATGTCATAATATGCAGCCGTATTTAAGTTTAAATGTTTATAATTTTGTGTTCATAATTTTGTTCATGTATGATTTTTGTAACTTCTAGTAACAATTGGGTTCATTTGCTAGTCGGAGCGGCCCGTGAATGTGGCCTGGGCTGTTATGTAGAGCGCAATAGCTCACGTTTAGTTCGCCAGTTAGACTCTGGTGTTGGGCAGGCCTGGATCATACTGTATATCTTCGATCACACTCCTACTGCCGATCGTGAGCGACACGCCGACTTAGTCAATGTTTACGTGCAGCGAAGGGCTTCATAACGTTATTGGCTCTGCAGACGTGTCGGTGATGTGTGGGCGGAGTTGTGGATGTGCAGATAACGACGTGGACACTTGGAACTAGACGGGTAACATCGTGGCGCACTACCAGTCCCAATCTCACGCACGGCTGGGGCGGACGGCACCACTCTGGTCTCCAGCCAGCTGGGGTGGACGGCACCTCTCTGGCCTCCAGTCAGCCGGGGCGGACGGCACCACTCTGGTCTCGAGCTGGCCTAGGCGGACGGCACCTCTCTGGTCTCGAGCCAGCCGGGGCGGATGGCACCCCTCTGGTCTCGAGCCAGCCGGGGCGGACGGCACCTCTCTGGTCTCGAGCCAGCCGGGGCGGACGGCACCTCTCTGGTCTAGAGCCGGCCAGGGCGGATGCGTTTGCCGTGGATGACGCCACGTGCGGCATACTCCCTCTTGATTGCTTCAGATAATTCCGTCCGACACCTATCCCAGACGTCGTCATTGATGACGCCAGCCGCCGCACCCGTGCCCCTGTCCTCCCCCTCGCCTCTCGCTCTCCGGCGGTCGTCTTCTGCCGGCAGGCGTCCGTGTACTCTGCCGCCGGAGAGGCGTGCGTGGCGGTGGCCAACAGCGGCGCCGGCGGCCGGGTGGACCTCTGGTGCTGGGCGGCGGCCGCGACCCCGGCTCACCCTGCGCCAGACCATCGCCTCGGCGGCCGTCGACGTCAGCACGGCTGTCCTCGACGACCACCTGGTCATGGCCGTCGTGCGGGAGGCCACGCACAAGTACGACGGCATCGTCAACACGTACAGGTGCGCTTCCGGGCTTGACCGCGGGGCGGCGAGGGGGTGGGGCGGGGCAGAGGTGAGCAATTGTGGCGTAAGAACAGGGAGGGACGTTGTCTGCAGCTGGTCTGTGGGTTTGACCGAGAAGTGGTCAACGTACAGAGTGGATCGCGTGTCAGTAAGTTGAAAATAGATGTGGTGAGCCCGCACTAGCCAGCCAGCGCGTTAGGCCACCGTTCAGTAATCCGCTGTTTGCGGTTGAGTCGTCAGAACAGCGGAACTGATTTCGATAGCTCTTGTGCCGTACCCGTTTGCCACTCTTGTTGCTTCTATGCATCATTGCAGGCCGTATTTTGCGCACGATGTCTCAACCGGTTTTGCAGCGCCTTTTTGTCGTGTTTATGATTTCGGGCGTCAGCTGGTTGTTCATGAGAGCCCACGCGTCGGAGCGCGACTCTCGGTGTCCGCCGGTGCCGGGTGCAGACGGCAGCAGGTCCTCTTCATCTCCTGCCACACCGTCGCAGGTTCGAGCCGATCATCGGCAAGTGGGCGCATGCGCAGACGGTGCCCGTGCGGGGCGCGCGGTCGGCCCGCCTGCTGGCGCTGCCGTCCGGCGAGCTGATGCTGACCTGCCTGACGGATGACGGCCGAGCCGTGTACCTGCTGTACCGCGGCGCCGCCGGCGGCTTCGAGGCGCGCGGCGAGTTCGCCGTGGGCCACGCCGCCACGCTGGAGGCGTTCAACCTGGCCGGTCTGGCTACGCAGCTGGCGGTGGCCGGCCGGCCGCGGCCCGACATGTTCGCGCTGCATACGCACTACCCGGCCGCCGTGTACGCCGGCAAGTTCATGGGTCATGAGTGGTAGGGGGCTGATGGAGTGTTATGCCCTCCCCCTCGCCCACCCTCCCCGGCATCGCCCCCGCCCCCTGGCGGCGTTGGTCGGCGCGGAGCGAGTTATCCATGTTACGTCAAGTTTGGCGGCATTGTCAATGTCAGGGCGTGTAGCGAATTATTGATCCGATGCTGGCGTCTTCCCTGCGGGCGGATTTGCTGGTTGACATTGTTGGCGCTTCTTTTTGGATGTGTCTGTGCTGTTGTGAACGAATTATATTTCCGGGTGTTTATTGTTGTCCGGATTTTTCCACAACTCGATGATACACTGTTCTGCTGGCGCCGCTCAGTGCTCGAACTGCCGTATGGCGGAATATAAGCGCAATGTTGCAAACAAATGCGTTTCCGGCATAGGTTTAGCGATAGTCGATGACACGGCACACCATTCTGGACTTCACCTTTATTTTACATGTACACTGCACGTTCAAACTAAATGTTTATTCACAAATGGTAATGCCGGGGTCTGCACGCGGCGCACACGTATTTCCAGAAGTGGACGGCGGGCCGCCGGAAACGGAACTGGGAACTAGGGACGTGCCGCCCGACGCCGTCCCCCTCTCGGAGGTGGTGACGGCTCGGCAACCCAGTCAAGTGCAGCCGGGGCGGCGGCGGGCGGCGGTCCAGGCCCGGGGGCCGCCGGGCTCGGCCGTCAGCCGGGGATTGGTTCAGGTCTGGGGAGCGTACACGTGCCCCCCGGCCGACGGGGAGCCCACAGAACAGGCGAGGACAGGCGAAAGTAGAGCGGAGCTCGAGCGGAGGCGAGGAGGAGAGGTGACAGCAGCAGGGGCGGCCCGCGCCTACGAATCAGACTATCCGACGGGGTGCTGCGCCTCTAGCAGCTCAGAGCCTGCGGGTGGAACTCCGGACGCCGCGGCCGGCCGGTCCGCGCCGCCGCTGGCTCTACAGCCGTGGGGAGGGGAGAGCGGGCTCTGCGCGCGGCGGGTGGGCGGGCCGGCCCCGCCGGTGTGTGGAAACGCCTCGCCTGGACAGGGTGGTCTCTGCCGCGGCCACCGGCGGGGCGCGGCCGGCCCGAGCAGCGCCGCGCCGCGAACACAGCAAGCACGGCAGAGTGGGCGCGGCGCCGCCGGCGGTGCCGACCCGGCGCCGGGCGCGGACGAGCTGAGCTGGGCAGGTGGCGCCACGGGGGCCGGGCCGGGACGCGCGGCCGGGCGCAGGGCCGCGGGGAGGGCGGGGTGGGGGGCGGCGCGGCGGACCGGCCGGTCGTGGCGCCGCGGGGCGCGCGCATCGCAGGCTCCGTCACTGTGCGAGGTGGGCGTCGACAAGCGGTGCAGGAGGCCCGGCGGCCGCGCGGCACGCCGGGCCGCTGTCAGCTGGGCGGGCGCTCCCGCCGCCAGCCGGCGTCACTGAGCTAATCTATCCAGAAAATAGGCTTTCACACAAACATATGCGGGCCGCCGACGTCGGCGGAGACGGAGGCGGCGGACGTACTCGTGTCGTCGGCGCTCCGGCGGCCCGCGGCGGCGGCCCGCACCAACGTCTACGCACAGCACGTGTCCCCCGAGAGCGGCGCTCGTTCGCGGAGAGCGCGGCCGCCGCCCGTCGGCCTGCTCGCATCCCTGTTCGAGAGCAGGCCGCCGGCGCGTCCGCGCCCGCCGGCTGAGCTCGGGGCAGGCTGGGCTCGCGCTCAGCGCACGGCCTCAGCTCGCGCTCGATCTGGGGCGCCCGGCTGGCTGCGGGCTCAGCGGCGGCGGCGCCTCTTCATCATCTGGGCCATTTTCACCAGCTTGGCCCGCACCTGCATCGGGAGGGCCGGGCACGCTCACCGTGGACGCTCACACTGCCTTCTGAGGCGGAGGTAGGTCGGAGAAGCACGTGAACAGTATGTGCCAGGAAATGTTTACCTTCTGCATTGAAGATGTTCCGCATAATGCTACAAAAGCATGCCATCTAGTCATATGAAATAGATAAGCATCACGCCGAAACAAAACTGATGGTTCTAGTGGTCACGCAAAAAGTGCGGAAAATGCTGACCGAGGAAAACTAAGTAAAGTTGAATTCACCCACCGCCCCAAGTTCTGGCCAAGTCACAGATGTGCATAGTGTCGCTACGGTAGGCGGTAGGTGCTGTGAGTGTGTGCCGGTAGGTAAGGTAGGTAGGTAAGTGTGTGCCGCATGGCTTGGTGCTAGGAATGCGATATCGAGTGAAGAGCCTGCTGGTGGTGGTCACGAAAGTGTTGTTGCCTGAAGAAATCGTGCAATAAATAACATGTTTAGGTATGGGAAGTCTTTTCGTCGGGGCCCACGAACTCCTGTGACTGTGCTACACTCACAGCGATAGCTTCGGGCCACGCGGGATTTTTCCAAAGCTATCCCTCGAGTGACCAGCATCCGCGTCTCCGGGAAGTCAGCCGAGTCCACTGACCTGCTGGTTGCCGGTGGAGTGAAAGAAGAAGATGACGACACCGACAACGGCGTTGAGTACGCCGAACGTGCCATACAGTGCCAGATCCTGTTCGTACTCGCTGAGCATGCCGACCACCCAGGAGGCGAACACCAGCGGCATTATGGCCAAGTTGGAGCGCTGAGATATACGCGCCGACAGCCGCTGCGATTTGTCCACGTCTGCCGGGGGTGTGGAGAGCGTCTTGACAGATGTGGAGGGCGATGTGGCCGGCGTGGGTAGTGATGGGAAATGTGGACAGCGGAGAGGGAGATATGGATCAGACAGCAGGGAAGGATGTGGTGGAGGTGTTGGGGGGGGGGGAAGGGGTGTCGGAGAGAGTGCAGACAGCGATGAGCAACGGATGCAAACAATGGCGGACGATGACAAAGATATGGACGATAGTGTAAGAGGTGTGGTCAGTGGCGTCAAATGTAAATACAGCGGGAAAAGGTAAAACAATGTTTGCACGCATGGTGTTTTCGACAGAACAGGTGCGCGTGGCGGCCGGAGAGACGTGGACCATGATGTTAGAAGTGTGGACATTAGTATGAGAGGTGTGGACAGCGAGGAGAAGCTCCTCTATATCGTGCGATGATTAAATCAGCATGGTTTACAAGTTATTCGGCCGTAAACAGCAACTGTAGCAAGGAGCTTATACTGGTCTAAAAGAAAGGCATGAGGGAATAGTGCCGGCGCTTCCGTCGCCACGAAGGCCAGCAGGGTGTCTCTGGCGGTCAGTATGTGGACAAAAGGCACCTCCACCTCGCACGGCTGCCTGCTCCGCTTCACCCGGCGGACTTCCTAGGCAAGCGTTCATTACTGCGACCCGCCGCCACATCAGCCGACCGCTCCCGCCCCGTGAGGCTCCCCAGCCCTTCGGCCGGACACTGCCGCACCTTTGAGCGGCGCATACTCCGCCGCGCCGGCCGCCTCGATCAGCGTGAACGTGATGATCATGATGGCGATGATGGGGATGTACTGGCCGGTGCAGAGCGGCTTGTCCAGTTGCAGCCAGCAGTGGTAGACGCCGCCGTAGTTCTCGTACTCAAAGCACATGGTGACCAGCACGATGAAGATGGACAGGCCCCAGCCGATCAAGGTGTTCTGCAGACGCGTGAAGAGCCCGTCCTGCGAAGTCAGGTCAGGAGTCAGGTCGTCCTGGAGCCAAGTCAGGCCGCCCAGCGTCGGATCACCCGAGCAAAACGCTGCAAGCAACGAAGAGTTAGGCTAAGTCAACCAGACACGTGCCAGGTCTCACGAGGTCAAGCCAGGTCAGTGGCCCGTGCGATGCCAGCATGGCCTGTGTCAGGCCTCAACGGGTCAAGTCAGGCCAGTGACCTGTGTCAGGGGAGGAATGACAGCAGAAGCCACTTAGTGCTCTGCCTTGTAAACCAAATGTGCGCTCTAGCCCTCTCGTCAGCCACGGCAATTCAATTCTGCCATGTTTGCATCTTCGTCGACTGCTGGCGAGGAGAACATCTCTATGCCATCTTCCGACATCTTCGGAGAACGTGTCACCAATGCAGGCCCGGAGGATCCATGAGCTTACCTTTTTCACCACGTAGGCGACGAGGGAGTACATGTGCAGCGACTCCAGCATCATGAACATGAAGCAGGCCGTAAAGAAGAAGTGGACGAGGATTGACACGAAGCGACAGAGCGTCTGCAAATGAGGTAAGAGTAAAGGGCTCGCCACCACATCTGCCCGCCTCTGGAAACGACCGTCATGGTCACAGTATTTCCTCACGAGTGGTGACTCGATGCCTGGGGTTTTAGCCAGATGTGTGGCGTCATTGTTGGACCCTCAACAGCCATTTCTGGATAGCGTTCCTGGTCAACACGTCGCAATGTGACTGCAGAAAGAAAACATGCGCAGCTGCGATCGGCGTAAGAACGTTTGCAGGCGTCTGACACGGGCCCGTCACGTCCAGCGTCGGCAGCCTGCATCACAGCCACCCACCGGCAAGTCCACGATCCCCGGCGGGAACATGAGGAAGATGTGGGCCGAGATGATGGCGATCTCCATGTTCATCTGGATCACGCGGTCCGGGGTCAAAATTCTCAGCAGCAGGAACAGCGTCAGCGTCAGCCCTGCCAGGTCAGAGGCGATCAGCGCGCCGCTCGCCAGCAGCCTCTCGCCACGGGACTCTAAGACGTCAGCGGTGCGAGAGTCCAGAAGTTTCATCGTGCGCGTGAGGACATGGGGGTGCCGCGCGGGGGCGTGCTGGTGCTGACAGACGGCGGAGCGTCCTTCTCGATGGTAGCTTTAGAGTGAAGTTATGTGTAGAAAGTTAGGCCGCGAAAAGCTGCGGCGAACTGATTAGGGTGCGGTCATGATGCATCCTCTGTTTGCTATCGAACGAAGAGGCTCGCTTGGGCCGTTGTACGCGGCGCCGCCGCTTGCCCGACCACGGAAGGAATAGGGGCTAACAGAAGCTGGGTACAGGTGCCCTCCTCCCCCTCAAGGCCAGACTCCGCGTGGCGTGACGTACCGACGAAGATGATGAGCACGGTGGAGGCCGTCTTGCTGACCACCACGGCCACCGTCTTCTCCTCGGGCGCCAGGGTGGGGATGGGCCGAGGGGTTGGCGTGGTCGGCGGCGGACCTGTGGGGCATGCCCGGTCCCCGGTCAGGTCAGGGCAGGGTAGGTCAGCAGGCGGCCAGCCGGCAGCCCGGTGCCGGGGCGGGTGGCAGGTTTGGGCGCTGCGGCGAGCGCTCTGTGGAGGGAGAGGCGGGAGGCAGTGCGGGCGGCTGCGCGTTTACAGTTACCACTGGGGTGCTCTGCCTTCAGCGAGCAGACGTGGTGAAGGCACCCGGCTCATTCTTACAAATGGGATGGGTTTCTGCCGCCATAAACTGGATGGAAAAGGAGCAGTCTGTTTAGATCACAGCCAACTTGCTTTAAAAAAAACACGCCGCATGAGTGATGCCCGGCATCCAAAAGTTCATGCTATTCCATTGTCACAAGCAGCTTGCAAACTGGCAGCAAGGACCCTCATCGCTGAGTTGCGCCCATGCAGTAGCTTCAAAGGTCAAAATATTCCCGTCTCTGAAAATGACATATTTACATTTTATCCGACGCGACGATGCTCGGAGTGCAGGGTGGTAACAAGCCCGCGGGCATTTCAGTAAGGAATTGTGACGCTCTCGGATCTATTCTTACTCACGGAGACAGAAGGACTTTGCCTTATTCATCTCGTAGCCCATTGTGCACTTGCAGACGGCCTTGGGCTCCACGTTGTCTGACTTGTCCTCGCAGATGGCATATTCTGGACAATTCTTGGTCAGGCACGGACCTGGCAAGGAATGCGGTTCCGTGATGTCTGCGGTCAACACCCTGCTGCACTGGTATGAGAAATAACCACAGGCGGGCGCAACGCCGGCAAATATAGGATTAAAATGTTTTTTTGCGGACTGCAGCAGAAATAAGATTTAGGGTGAACATGTTGAGTGAGCTTCGGTGCTCTCATGTTATGAAGATCAATGGAAAGTGAACCGCGGGCACATGCTTTTGTTGGAGGTAAAAGAAGTCTGGTGATACAAGTACAGTCATTAAGGACGAAGCTCCTGCTGTCGTTACACCTGAAGCGAAAAAATTCCAGGCGATGTATGCAACAATAATCCGTGGGCATATCAAGGACTGTCGTCCTGGACGGCGCTACAGGGGAACACACGGCGGTCTCCGGTCACGTTCTCGTGCAGTGTCCACGCTTTGCCACCGAGCGCTCTCGTCACTTTGATCGCCATATGCAGCGTAGCCATCCTTGCGTTCACTCACAGGCGGGGACCCCACTGTCGACGTGAGAGCAGTTTTTGCATTTCTTAACGACACGGATTTCACGATCATTTGTCTCCTTTACGACATCTTTTGATGCCGCACAACCCTGGTTGAAAACACTCTGGCGTAATGAGCTGACATGAGCGGCCTGGGAGATGCTTGGTGCTCTGCGTGTTACGACCGTTGATTTTGCGCAACTTGCGTTTTTGGACACGATTCGGAAAATCTAAAACAACCTACAACAGCGACCTTATATCATAAAACACGGCATACCTCCACACAGCCTTAGTTTGTGCGCAAAATGACCGCAGCTTTTGATGCGTCCCCAAGCCCAAAAAACAACGAAGGGTCGCACAAAACAGCTTTCCGAATCCAAGAGAGTAAAAGGCTGAACCTGCTGAGGCTGAAGTGGATGAAACTCAGAAGTTGACTTACTAGGACACTCGGTCCTGTTCCAGGTGTTGCAGTCTCGCTCCTCCCTCACAAACTGGTTCTGATCTTCTCTGCAGGGTGCGTCGCCGCATACCGAGGACCGGTATTGTTTTCCCTTATCACAATAGGCCGTGCAGTTGCCCCCACTCACTGAAGGAGGCTGGAATGAAGTGCGCATGGGTGAGCGGTCTTAAGCGCCCCGTCCACACAACAGCGCTGGCTGTGGCACCGCAAAAACTGATCTCAACAATGATGCGACATTTCAAGGGCTTAGCGGTCCACGGTGCACTCCGCCATCTGCTCTCATCTACACTCTATACCCTACATCTATTCCCACCTGCTTTAACCATTGCATTGCCATAATTTTACCAGATCGTCTTTTCAAGCAGAAGCTGACGCGGCAACACCTCAGGCAACAGTTTGCGAGAAGGCAGTTCTACCAGCACACGATCGGTCTCCTGCGCCGCTGCGCTCCTGTGCTGAGTGACCTGCCCGCAGCGATGAGGCTTGACGCCCGCGAGCGCTACTCACTGGCGCACGCATGGGTGTTGCAGGGGGCATGCTCGGTCTCGGTCAGGGCCCTAGTGCCGCCCTCCGTCAAGCACAGCTGGCCGCCGCCCTGGGGCGCCGGCAGGTTGCAGGTGCGCAGTCGACGGAAGGTGCCGCCGCCACAGCTGGCGTTGCAGCTGGAACCGCCTAGCGACCACTCCGTCCAGCCGCCGTCCACATCTGACGTCACAGAGGGCACGTCAGACGCGCCTAGCGACCACTCCGTCCAGACGCCCTCCACATCTGAAGTCACAGAGGGCACGTCAGACGCGCCCAGCGGCCAGTCCGTCCAGCCGCCGTCCACATCTGACGTCACAGACGGCACGTTAGACGCGCCCAGCGACCACTCCGTCCAGCCTCCGTCCACATCTGACGTCACAGAGGGCACGTCAGACGCGCCCAGCGACCACTCCGTCCAGCCGCCGTCCACATCTGACATCACAGAGGGCACGTTAGACGCTTGGCGAGCGATGCGTGGCCAACACATGTCTAGCACGTGACGGGAAGCACACCGTGACCGCGCTCCACACCTGACGCGCGGCAAAGAGGCGTGGCAGCCGATCTGGGCCGGATGCATCAGAGGTGCGGCACAGAGAACGCATCGAGAACGCGTCGCAGTTGTGTCGCATGCGCCAGTGTAGAGGTCGTTGGCAGCTGTTCCGCCCATCATGACGTCACAAAACGTTTAGCAGTCGGTCTAGTGGCCGTGGACAGTTGACGTCAGATGCTCATTTCAGTCTGTCCAACCTTGTCGGCTTCTATTGTCATAGGGTAAAACGTCAATCAGGCGCAGTTAAGATCCCAACGTCAGCCCCCCCCCCCCCCCCCCCCCCCCCTCCCCGAAGCCTGGTCCGCCCACGACCACTGCTGTTACGGAAGGCTTGTATCCCTGCTCAGTTTAAGTCGCGTAGAACCACGGTGGTACGGGGCGCTGCCCTTCCCCTTTCTGCCTCCGCCGTTTCCCGCCTCCCCCTCCATCCCCCTGCCCCACAAGTCGATGAGATTGACAATAAATCCACATGGCAAAAAGACTGTAGCAAGTAGATCTTGTTCTTCCCTACCCACTTTCGGAAGTGGTCTCGCTCCTATTCCAAAGCACTGGGCGGCCTGAGTCTGCGGGCTGAGTGCGCATACCGGGCGGATTGAACTTGCAAGCTGAGTGTGCACGCCGGGGGGCAGACTGAACCTGCAGGCTGAGTGTGTCCGCCGGGCAGGCTGAGCCTGCAGGCTGAGTGTGCACGCCGGGGGGCAGACTGAACCTGCAGGCTGAGTGTGCCCGCCGGGCAGGCTGAGCCTGCAGGCTGAGTGTGCCCGCCGGGCAGGCTGAGCCTGCAGGCTGAGTGTGTCCGCCGGGCAGGCTGAGCCTGCAGGCTGAGTGTGCACGCCGGGGGGCAGACTGAACCTGCAGGCTGAGTGTGCCCGCCGGGCAGGCTGAGCCTGCAGGCTGAGTGTGCACGCCGGGCAGGCTGAGCCTGCAGGCTGAGTGTGCGCGCCGGGCAGGCTGAGCCTGCAGGCTGAGTGTGCACGCCGGGCAGGCTGAGCCTGCAGGCTGAGTGTGCCCGCCGGGCAGGCTGAGCCTGCTGCGCGGCCGGCGGGGTTGCCCAGCTCCCGCCGTTACAACACGGGGCAGCCAGGTGACGCCCGGCGCTGACCTTCCCGCGCTCGTTCGTTATTCAGTCGGCGCCGCGGCCAGACCGGCGCCGCGACCCTGCATGCCGCATACGTCGGCACGCCTGTACCGTGTTCGTGACTTGCCGGGGAAACATGCAGAACGGATGCCCATTCAGGGCGGGCAGGACGCAGGCCCGGCCACGCGTGGCTGGCTGGGAATTTAACGGCTTTGAGCGTTTCGATTTCGCGAAGGACGTTTTATTCGTTGGGTGTCTTATTTAGTACGACGCCAGGTTTGCTTGCGATTGCAATTAGATAAAACATATACCAAACAACTTTCGCAGACAAAGTGTCTCCAAGACATTGCTGCCAAACACCTGAAGTGCTAAGGACAGAATTGCCATTCCACAGCTAAACTTTTATGGCGAAACTGCCAACCGTTATGAGCTCAGGGTTCTTATGCTGAGCTATCAGCGTTCAATGTATCAGGTTGCACTGATTAAATGACATTCAAGAGCAAATATTGGCTACACTGACATTGCTTAATACAGTCAAGCTATGCAAGTCAACAAAACCGTTGGCTGTAATGACTGTGTGAGTACTGCCAACACGACCAATGTTTGTTCTGAAGCGCCATTTAACGTTAACGCCAATTAACGAAGCGTCATTTAACCTGCACCTTCCAGCTCTTTGAAGATCGACACCTCCGCATAAGAACCCCGAACTGCCGAAATGCCAACAAGCCGGGAGTTCAAGACATTTCTGCCTCTATCAAATGACACTGATAAGGACAAATCTTGTATCCCAACAAAACTGGCAGGTGGAAGGCCTTTAAGGACAGCCGTCCAGGGTAACACGATGTTATGTACAAATGTACATGCGACGTCACTGCCACTTGTCAAACCATTGCGAGCTTTCACATGACATTTTTTTCCGCTGGCAGAACATCTGCTTCGCCGCAACAATGCAATCCCGGGAATGCTATCAAAACAACAAAAGCACAAAGAGCATAACTTACCGGCATAAACTGTAATACATCAAAACTGTCACCGAGAGCATATCGCACGGCATGACTGCCATCGACACAATTTATAATTAATGTTTCGAAAGATGTCGAAACCGTTATGAACGAAGCCTCCATACATAAATGCGTGAACACGGGCGATGGAACTTATATCACAAAGTTTCTAGTGATCATGGTGCCGGAGCCCCCCCCCCCCCAAGCTGTTGTTGGTAACTTATAAGGTGAGCGTGAGCGCATTATACCGTTTGAAACAGATTGGTTACCGAAAAGCCGTTTTAGATAGTAGTAAGGGTTAACAAATATCCGGCAAACCGTTACCGGAATTGATTTGCCCATTTTAAGACTCCGAGCAGTCACCGAAATTGGAATTTTTAGCCATAAAAACTATTGAACAGTCTAAAAGACCGCGGAAGCACACAAAATGCTCAAAACACTTTATGAACAGTTATTGAGCTTATCCATTAAAATATATGACTATCTTTGACCTTAGAACTACAGGTAAGGTGTAGCACTGTACGTAATGAAGAATTGAGTATTTGATTAATCCATGGATGGAATGAGATAGTGGAACTGAAGGTTTCCTCTCAGCTTGGACTAGGATCAGATCGGATTTTAAAGGAAGCGTGCACAAAGTGACTGGAGCTGGGCGAAGAGTACCAAATACATTTAAACAGGAGTAGGCGTCCCCATGTATACCACACGTTTCACATGTTGTGTTAAATTGGGATGGAATAGAGCAGATTTATATGGATAACTCAGGACGTCTTACTCTGACCGGAAAAGGACTAATCTGACCGAAAAGAGACTTAACTGAACACAAAAAGGATTTCTCTGGGAAAAGGGACCGCGAACACGCGCCAAGAGGCACAGGGTAATCTCGGATCAACCAGCAACACCTGCTTTGAAAAGAGGGCTTTAAACTCCAGTGAAATAAGCACATTTCGGACCAATCCGATTTTCTTAAGTCTGGTCGAGTTATCTGAAGATCTGCAAAAGGGTCTTTCCAAGCTCAGCCAGAAGCCGTGCGCTTAATACGCGCCCTGGTGGCCGGCTGGATACTCTTCGCTCGGGTGGGAGGGTCAATTTGACCCCCCCCCCCTAGGGATCTCAAGAACTATGAAGGCTAGAGACACCAAATTCACAGAGTATGTTGACCTGTACGTGAACTCACTTAGGCCAAAGTTTGAGGTTCCTAGGTCATGTCCTTTGGGTCATATAAGGTCAAACGAGGTTAAATTTTACGTTGGTCTTCAATGTGCCCAGAACCTAGGTAGCTGTTTCTAGTCAAAAGGTCACATGCTCATTTAAGGTCAGTGTCCTTGTTTGACCGTTTGAAGGTCATGGTGACCAAAATTATATAGGGCTGCCCTGAGTTTTGCATTTGAATAAGCGACAAAGATTACGCTAGGCAGTATGTTCCTAAAAACCAAATGTTGACCTGGGTCATTTTAAGTCAATGATCAATTCTGGCCTCTAAGAAGTCCATGAAAGATGTAGAATGCGGATCCTGCTATCAATAAATTCGAAATGAGTACCAGAAGCTATCCCATACAGCAAGCGCTAGAGTAATAAAACAGATTGGTTTTGACCTTGGTATGACCTTCATAGCTGACCTCAGGTCAATGAAATTTGCTCATTTAATTGTTGTATTGTCTAAGAAAGCAGTCCAGAGATGCATGGCTTTGTCTAATACTCCGTTGTTGCATCAGATTGACCGATTCCCTAGAAATTGGGTTCGCTGAAACCATGGCCTGACTTTGACCTGCCATAGGTCGATGGCCTTACAAGGTACATCTAAATTGTTGATGCAAAACGATCCGCTATTCAATTATCTACAGCTATGCAAAATTTGGCGCTGCTACGCAACGCCGTTCGGAAACCATTCTGGAAAAACCTTCGGGGGGGTCAATTTGACCCCCACCCGAGCGCATGTTAATACAAATTAAACAAGCCTCGTTGTCTTGAGGGAAGCCCTGAGGCAAGTTAGGACTAAGAGAGTTAAGAGCAGCGTTAAAGCTAAAACACCAACCCTGCTCGGGGTTAGTCTGAGGATAATCCTGATCAGAATAATGAATCTCTTTAACTAAAAAGAGGGTCTCCAATCTGAAGAGCAATGATTGCCCAGAGAACCGCCGGGCCTGAGCGAAATCTCCCAATGGAATCGCAAACCGTAAAATGACCTCCGTCCTGAAAAAATGATTACCAGGAGTGGTTGTCTGACCAGGAAATACTCTCGAGTCTGTGCGAATTCTCTTGCTGCAGATTGGACCTGAAAACGTTGGCAATTAAATTCATAGTCAGGACCTTCGGGCTTAAGAAAAGAATCGTGATGAATTTATATGTAGCGGGCTCATGTAGCTGCAAAAAAGCTGCCATTCTGGAGAAGGACTTCCTATCATCGTATGAATGGTTACGTTCTTGTCGCCCGACAGGATTTTGGCTTGTTTGATTCTCTCATAAGTCTGCAAGATAAATGTCAGTCGGTATGTTTTCCATAATGGCTCGAAGCATAACGGCATGTTCAAGTACGCGTTTTGTCACGGACATAGCGCTTTTAATCGAATACTTTTGTCGGCGGATGTAGTCTCTCGTGGAAGGCTTATCGTAACGGCGATTATTAGACGCAGCGTTACATGCATAACACATGTTGTGCACACAGTATCTGTAGTTTTTGGAGTGTGCAGGGGATTTTTGTCTGCAGAAATGTCGTCGAGTGGAAACTTTCATGATGGCGACGATGTGTGGGCAGAGGATGCCGGATCGAACCTACGTTCGCAACATTTATTCCTTTACGTTTGGCGTTACTGCTGCAGAGAGCTAATTGTGGCAGTCGCGTGTCTTTTACAAGTTTTGCGGGTTCCTCCGACAGAACTTGGAAGCCAGGCCAAGATACGCAGTGTGCCACGGTAGAGACGGAGCCTCGTGCCTGTGGAAGAGACATCAGCTGGGCGGTAGAGTTCGGAGCGCCGGCGTGGATCAGGGCGATGTGGGCTGAATGCATGCTTGCCGTAAATTGTGGACATTTGCTTTGAATATAATCTTTCATTCGAAGCTACGCTGGTAATCGTAGGCTTTTCTTCTTACACCATTTCTTTTTAGAACCGGCCAATATTTTCAGTTGCAAAGGCTTATAGTTCACCCACACATTTAAGATCATCGGCAATCATGCCGGATGGTCGATCTCAACTTGCAAATATGGAAAACAAGATCAAACTCAAAGCCCTTCTGCAATTGCACGGAGCTTCCAATGTTCCCGCGGATGGCTTTTTGAAGACTAAGGTCTGCCAGAAGGGTCCAAGCTTTTTTTCTAGAACGGAGAGGGAAGTATAATTTTAAAAAGAATAAAAACGGAGGAAATTTCCCTATTTTGTGTTTGATCTTCAGTCGTAACGTAAGGCAGTAAGGCAAGGTCATAGCTGAAGCGCTTCTGTTGGTACTTGCTTCCCATAGGGCCGCTGACATGGCTGAAGCTTCGCGGAATTGTTGCGGCGAACATAATGAGCAAGAGCAAAAAACATAAAGAGCAAAGCCATTGAGAGAGGTGCCGAATTAATGAGGGGAGATGGCACGATTTTACGTTTTTAACCCAGACACGATTTCTGACTGTCCCATTGCCACTCACTTTTTATTTCCAATAGATGAAACAACATTATCGATTTTAACTTAAGCCATTGGTGACATTCATATTGCCACAAGAATGCACTGACATGGTATTGGCACACTAGGAGAAGGCCTAGTAAGATTACTTCCGTTCATCGCACAGCTTAATCTCACGTAACTAGAACTTGCGTGACCTAGGAGCGAGCAGTTGCACTGGGAATTGGTTTATGTCCATCATGTCAGGATCTCGGGGCTCATTTGATGTCATTTTCAAGATTTCTCCTGCTGTGGCTGGCATAGACCACGCATGTCCGTTGAACTTTGCTCGGGCATTGCCACATCCTGCAGCCGCTAGACAACAAGATGTGGCAATGCATTCTGACATGGATGTGGAAATGAACGTTCAACAAAGTTGAAGACAAACTGCTGGAGCTGAAGTGAACCACCCATAAAAACTGAGAACGCTTAGCTGAGAACGTCGCCGAGAATAGCGCAATTAAAAGCGCAGCCACGGACATTGCCAGTGAGTTGGACGCACAGTGGGCTGCATGGCACGGTATGCATGTCATGTGAGGCCTGTTAAACCACGTAGCGCACAATGCTATAATTTTTTAATTTTTATGTTACAAAAAAAATTAATACATAATTTTATATTTTACATATTCTTTATTACATAGATTTAAGAAGTTTTACGTAAAAGATGCTCGGATGTTTTTTCACCTTCAAAGCGTTGAAGAGCACTTTTCATAGCTCACGCGTCACATTCTCCTTGTAGAAGTCATGACGGCCCTATCTCCGCTAAGGTCCTCGATGGGGTATACGTTGGCCGTAGAATAGGTGTTACTTTCCAAAGCACATACTGTATATTTGTACACACGCACATACCGTACTGTGTACATTTCCTACATATTATGATGCCTATATTGATGCATATTATGATGCCTATATGCCATATTACGACTTAACAATCCATGCATGACATTAAACTAGGTCGTCCAGGCTCAAGCTAGGTAAATTGTATTCAACAGCCGAGCAGTTGCCTGGATGATTTTTGATCATTTATGGCTTGGTTTGGCACGTTTTAGCCACATTAAACAAAAGGTCATGTCATTTGACAAGGCTACGGCTCGTTGTTGGTTTTGTTGTCGTGCGATACTTACTTCATGAGATAAATGGTTGGGACCGGAGTACATAAGGTTTGACCCGTGTGACCTGCTTTGACATGTCACAGGTAACAACCGCCGACGGGTTGTTACCTGTGACATGTCCTACTGTGTGACACTACTACTACTACTACTGTTACTACTACTACTGTTACCTGTGACATTACCTACTATCCCAGCATCATCCAGTGTGCCAAGGGCATAGAACGCCGCTTTCTCAATCATAGTACGTATAGCTCTGAGAATGGGAAAAAGTCGTGTTTCACTAATTGTATAACGTTGATCTGATTCCATCCGTCAAACATCACTTTAACCGTGCATAATGCACTAATCTCATCAGTTTTGCACGAGCCATTTGATGCCGCATTCTTAACGGTTCTAACTTGTTTGCTTTTCCAGACTGTGGTGAACTATGAGGCACTGTATGTTCGAAGCGAATAAAAATGGTATTGAAAAGCTGGGAACCGGCATTTCCGGCCATTTCGTTGACTGATGCATGAAACGCGTCCCAAGATTAAAAAAAAAATAAAACAGCAAGGCAATCGTTTATCATGTTTGCTTTTCCAGGCAGCGGGAGATTACGAGGCTACAAGGCACGCTTGGTGGCGATAAAAAAAACTGCACAGGAACAATGGGAGTTAGCATTGCCGCCCATCTCTTTGATTGATTCATGAAATGTTTCCCAAGATTGAAAAAGAACAGGAAAGCAATCGTACTAGCACTGTAAACGATTGCGCACTTTTAGCCTCGGTCCAATTTTAACCTCGGTCGAATTTCAGGTGCAGGTTTGGCAGGTGCGTCCCGGGTCACCCAGCCCATGACGAGCCCAGTCCCTTGGTTTGCCGTCCTCAGAGCCCTGCTCAGAGCCCCCTTTCACAGCCGGGGGGGGGGGGGGGGGGCACGTTGCTCACCCTGCCCCGCCGATGTCTGGATGAGGAGAGCAGAGGCGATGAGCAGGAGCACCCCAGGCGTGAGGAGAGCGCGCATCCTTCAACCTGCAACAGGGTGGAGCCGGCGGTCAGACCCAGTGGACGCATATAGCATGTCAATCGGTGTAATAAAGGTGCCTAACAGGCCTAAACTTTGAGTAGAGTGTTAGCAGCCGAGGTTGATGCTTCAAATTTGCTGGTTTCTGCTTGGCAAGCTTTCAAATCATTCTCCGAAGACCGCCTCCTTACCAAAAACGTGCATATATTGATGATTCAGCAAGACCGCATTCGCATTGGTCAGGAAGGCTTGAAAGTAAAGCAAACGTTGCTCCGTAAAAAAGCCCAAGATTGGGAAGGTTCAGGCGCGCGTAAGGTTGACTGCGCAGGAATTAACGCGCCGCGAGCCGCGCGTGGTTCTCAAATTGTGAGGGTTGCGCGCGTGTCGTGCCACAAGAGGAGTGTTCATCTTTCGCAGTTTAAGAACGGCACAAAATTCATACGCCAACTTCTGCACCCACCGACTTATGCGTAATCGAATCTTTTCAGCCTCATTAGCGCTTAGTTCACTGTAGATTTCTTTTACGAGTGACGGATATCACAATATCTTTGGATTTCCCGAAGTCGCAGGCTGAACGCGGAGGAGCATCGTTCATTAGCAGCCCGCTTGTCGAAATGAAGATTGCGTGATGCCTTTGTTGCCACCGTAGCTGTGGGACTTAGTCTGTGAACCAGCGTTGACCTGAAACCCAAAGGCCTATACATGCCCCTCAGTGAACAGAAAAATGCACATATCTTGTTGGTGGCGACGATTTTTTGTTTGGACGTACCGACCGTGTATTGCCATACAGCGTCCAGGTGTATTACCCTGAGAACAGTTTAAGTCAAATTGACCCCCACCCGCACCCCACCCACCCGATCACGTGCTAAGAATCAAAGCAACTTTCGGGTGGCCCGCGATCGCTCATCATTGAATATAGTCCTGCACACGTAAGCACCATTGAAAACAAGGCAGCTGAATCAATTATAACGAAATGAGTCGTACATGATCAGCAAATGAACTAAAACCTGGCTGGAAATGACTGTCCATTGCAAATCCCTTGTGCACACACGCTAACGTGCCTTGTATTTGCTACGCTTCGTTTGCTTCTGTTCTGACTACCCTGGGCGGAGGCCGGACCGTGCGACCAGACCTGATTAGCCGGCTGCCCTCGGGGGGGGGTAGTTCCGCCGCCGTGACCGACAGAACGCCAGGTGTAGGGCCGCGCTATGGCGACCCGTGCCATTGTTCACCGACCATGGCATTGACTCGTTGCTCTGACTTTGTGCGGTGGGATGGGCGGTTTGGTACATCACGGGGTCTCCGGCAGAAGAGCAGAGGGCTCACAGGCGGTGACCCGGTCCGAGGTCAGGTCAGCAGCAACGCGCGATGAACAGAACCGTGCCGTGTCGATACCCCGCCCGGAACGCTATCTGCCTAGATATCGCACGAACTGGAGCCGGTCGGCCGACAGGGTCACTGGTATCGTGTTGGCCGGGTCACACCGGGCGACAGCCTTGACCCCTGCTGGCCCCGCCTCAGACGTCTCGGCGTGCGGCCCACAGACGCCCGAGCCAGCCATCTTTTACCGTCATAACTCCGGCCGCCACAGAACCGGGTCAAACAACGAGACCCTCTGGCGCGGCGTGTTCCAATAGTTGGAGACCGCATGTGGCGCCCCAGTCAAGCTCACGGCTCCTAGCCGCCCTCGATGGTAAACAAAGACGCATTGGCATGACCTCAATTACGGCCACCGCAGGAACTCGAGAGACGCTCGGTGAACCGTGCCCACCTGCCAGTCAACGTGGAGGTCACTTGAGTTCTACGACCGAAATAGAGCGGCTGCGGTCGTTGTGGCCGAGTGCTTCTGAGCTAAATTCGTTGTAAAATGAAGGTTGCCGGCCGTACAAAGCACGCTTTTGACACCCGGCCGACAGTTTCCCCAAACAAGCAGCCCAGGTGGCCACCTGCATTATCAAACACCGCAACTTTACGGTTATAGGCATGCTGAGCAGGTGCGTCATATGCTTGATCATGGGTCGATATTTGTATCAAGCAGGTGCTCCGAGATGCGCTGGTGTGCACGGTGAACAAAACGATGCATGGGGAGAAGTTGGTGATCATAAAACGTAAATATATTTTTCATGGGCCTCAACATCAACGCTCCGATGAGGAAACTGGCACCTTACATACTGACTGTCGATCTAAAATCGGGTACCATTTGGTGTAATTTGGTATAATGTATTAGTACAAAGTGCACTCGGCACGAATGCATCGATTCCGGTGTTAAAGGTCTCATTCTGCCGAACATAAGGCAAATGTTATGAGGTGTTTGGTTCACAGCGTATCTGGTGTGTGGGACCAGCAATGAGGCATTAGAGGATCGCCGCGGGTCCCGAGGTGCGCCGCTGCGCGGTGTTCCGAAGTGGATTTGCGGAGTAGACATCCGATACATCAATACTTAGCCTTGTATGTAAGCACGAGCAGCTTTGCTTGAGCCATCCACACCAATGGGAATGCAGGCCTTGCACGTACTGAAGCAAGTCTACGCGTGACGCTATTTTTCGATGCGTGGTGCAACACACGGTATGGCCAA